GGTGTATGTGCAAAGCGAATATACAGTTAAACAATGTTAAACACTAGTGTCTAGTTATACACGACCGAAAGACAATTTGACAAACTGACATCGAGTTACGGTCATCACTCATCAACATACGCGCATTCACAAGACGGCAACGAATAACGATCAACGATTGTTTTTTTCCAGTAATACGCTGCGTCGCGTCGCATTTTGGTCTTATATCTAATCACGCATGTGTCTCGATGCGGGCGAGCACGGTCTTAGAAGACCGTGCGGGCGAGTGTCATTTCGGTGTATTACAAACACTGTCTTAGATTATTACAAATATAATATGGATAACTAAAATGTGGGTATATATGATATTTTGTAAAATAAAAATAGCTATACCTATATGAAATATCATATAATGGAGATTGCCTAAATAAGTTATTATTAGTTATATTACACAAATATTTAAACGCCAACATATATAATATAATACAATATTTTATAGTAAACTGTAGTGTAATAATATAATACCGTATACATTATTGAACTATTCTATTTATATATTATCATTGTAATAGAAAAAATTGATAAAATAATTACATGCATAATATAATCTATATAAGTAAAAAAGTGCATAGAGTATGCAGTCGCGTTTACCAAAAATTATATTTTATACTAATAGGTTCTCCTATTTTCTATTTTTTTATTTTACGTTAAATTAAAGGGGTTTTTTTATAGTAATAACTTAATAAGTTAATATTCTTTTTTTTTACTGGTATTAGATATAATTATTTTTATTTTTATTTTTTATTCATGGTACAGCATCAACAGCTAAGGTTATTAGCTTGCAACAATTTATTATACATTAAGTTAATAAAGACCGTGTATTAAAAAATATAGCAACAGTTATTATTATAGTTTTATGCAATTTTCAAAAATTGGTTTTGTTTTAAATCAGGTACAATTAATTACCAAAATCTATATGTACACTAAAAAAATCCATCCAGTTTTCATTATTTTATTATATAATGCTTTATCGTAACATTCATAACTATAGGTACGAAAACCATTGAAATAAGAATACACTTTTTTTAATTATCATTAGTAATGGCTAATATTAGTAATTACCAGGTATAAACTTAATGTTAGGTAAATGTTTAGATACTTATATAAATAAAAAATACGTAAAATACGTAAATAAAATACGTAAATAAAATACGTAGTACATCATAAACATTTTTTTTCAAATGTTAAATTTAAACAGCTGCCTTAGAAGTATTAAAACAAATTAATTTTTGGATATTACTTTGTTCATTATTAGGATATTTACCTAAGGTTATCACAGACTCCACACACTTTTTTGAGGAGGGATTACAACCCTAGAAGTTCTAGACTAGAACCCGACCCCCCGTGTATGCCACTACTTATTGATAATGGACTTAATAAATATATAAATACATAAGTATAAAAAACAAACAATTAAAGAGTAGTATTATGTGTCAGGCAATTTTACGTTTTATATAATCAATTTTTCGAGTAAGTCAATGATATTATGATACAACAATTTTTCTGTTTTACTTTTACTTATAAAAAAAAATTAATTTTGATTTGGGTTTGTATTTACTTTACCCAAATAATATAATTCGCGGATCTAATCTGTATAATCTGTTTTCGATATATTAATTTAAATATCAAATAGATACACTGTAGATGTATTATTTCTGATACAAAATAATCATCAGTAAAAAACATATCCTGTAAATATCATTAACAAAATATCCAATGAATGTTCTTAACAAATCAAATTTTCAATATAATTTATCTGATATTAATACCTTATTATTAATAAGATATACTATGAATGTATTATTTATGATAACGATTTCCAGATATAAAATAATTATCACTAATAACATATTCTGAATATATCATAAACAAAACATCCAAACAATGTTGTGAACAAATCAGATTTTTGATATATTATTTCTGATATTAAAAAGATATACTGTAAATATGTTATTTATGATAAATATTTTTTATATATCAAATAAACATTAATTATTAGATGTATAGCAAATATCATCCAGAAAATATCTTATAAATATTCCGCACAAATAATTTTTTTTGATATCGAAATCTTGATGTAGTGAAATTATCACATAAATATAGAAAAAATATAAATTCATTTTGAGTTATCATCAAATTATATTATGTATATCAACTAACGAATATACAAAAATGTATTTAGATTGAATATCAAATATATATCAATGTATTATTTTTACTATATGGGTAGATATAAAGAAATTAAAGAATGGAACGACATTAAAAAATTATTAT